ATTAAAAACAAAACAACTATAAAGCAATACTTTTGACTTACCTGTATAAGTATGTGTATATACTTACCTGTATGATTGTATGTATGAATGTATTTATATGCAAGTAAATATTTATTTTAGTACTTTAAAGATGTCATTGTATTTTATTATATTCTTGCCTCCATAGTTTCTGTCAAGAGTTCAGTTAGCATTTACATATTTGTTCTTACATATGTTGCACGCAGTTTCCTCTGCTTGCTTTCACAAAACATCTTTTTTTCTTTAACTATGTATGTCTAATTGTGGTTCCCTTTGAATCAATCTTGTTAGGGCTCACTGAGCTTTCTTAGACCTGTGAGCTGATATTTTTCACTAAATGAGGGAATATTTGGGTCTTTGCTTTTAAAAACATTTTTTCTGTTACATTTCCCACCTTTTGGTATTCCAATTATATATAATTTTAAGCCAATTAATATTGTGTTCTAGATTCCTGACTTTCTACTTATTATGCAAAGCTCATCTCTCTCTTTTTTCCCTATTTGAACTAATTTTTTTAACATACCCCAAATCTCTATTGAGCCTCTTATATTTTCATATTAGATATTATACTTTTAAGCTCTAGAATTTCATTTGATTCTTTTTAAAATAGATTTTATCCTGTCTACTCATTATGACCATGTTTTCATTAATTCTTGAACATATTTATATCTGGCTCAAAGCTTTGTTTGCTAATTCCTGGATCATTTTGATTTTTCTCTTCCTCCTTCAGCGTCTTTTTATGTCTGGTCATCGTTATTGCATCCTGGACATTGTGATCACTGCAGGGTAAGGAGTGTAGATTTTGTTGTTTCCTTTCAGAGTGTTGAATTTTGTTAAGACGGGCAGTTCATATCATGGCAGCAAGCCAAAAATCTAAAAATTGATAGTTAGCATTTCACTCCTAACAATAGAAAGTAATAGAAAATTGATGATTAATAAATCAGAAGGAAGGATAGTATAAATGAGTGTTGCAGACAACAGGGGACTTACTTTAATGAAGCAAAATCGCACAAATTTCTCAAACTGTAATTTGGCTTCTGAATTACAGAATGCTGAAACAGGAATAGCCGACAATTTCTGCAAAATAAATATGAATACATAGGGGAAAACCATTTATATTTCTAATATTAATTTTTGGACCAAATAGATACTTTTTAATACTGACAACAATTTTCAAAATAGAAAAGATTTTCCATCTCCCAAATACTCATCAGTGGAATATCATATAGCAAAACTACAGTTAACACTTGTTAAATCATTCAGCAGTTTTCCTTCATAAACTAATTAACCAATGCAACACAGGGATGCAAAGAGCACTAAACATTACCTTATGTTTAATCATCCATTTCACAAATTTATAGTCATAAGGTTCATTGTTGTTCATCTCAGAGAGGTCTACATCTAAAATAGAAGCAAGAATGAGAAGGTCTATATGTTATATCTGAGGCAATATGCATGAGGAGGCTTTTAAAAGTTTATGGGAAATTCCATTGTCTTGTATTTCCATTTTTCCAAGAATTTTTTAAAGTCTCATCATAGTTCCTTAAAATATATTAAGATTCATAGTATTTTCTCCTGGCTTAAACCAATTTTCAAAATCTTCTAAGATATCCAAGAATCTGCTGGAGTCTCATACTGCATAGTGTGGTGCAAAGTGAGGAATTCATCGATGAATAGTGTAAAGGAGTGCCTGAATAAACATGTTTGTTCACGCGCACGTATACAAATCTTAGCATGGGGAAAGAGTAAGAAAGGAGAAGGGAAGAGGAATTTTGCCTTCCCATCTAGAAATAATGCAAGACTCTATGACTATTATTGTGGAAATAATCGTCATCTTAGATTATTCATTACTAATAACACTGTATATCTTTAAATAGCTATTCATTAGGTTGTAAAATCCATGATGATAACACACCTGTTTTGAAACCTACTGTATCTCCACTTGTAACTCAGGTCCTACACGAGTAGTGAAAAGAATATTTGTTGAATAGCTCTATTATTGTACAGTAAAACCTGCAAAAGCTGGAACCTGCTTAAGGCAGAAACCTCCTTTAGGACGAGAAGGAAATAATTTCCACAAAACT